TAGAGACCCTCTCCATGGCTCTAATATTGGTAGAACATAGAGACCCTCTCCATGGCTCTAATATTGGTAGAACATAGAGACCCTCTCCATGGCTCTAATATTGGTAGAACATAGAGACCCTCTCCATGGCACAACATTCTTGTGTTTAGTTGTTGAGCTGTGGGGACTTCTCTTTAGAATACAGCTAAGATGCAAGTATTCCCATCAGGCGTAACTGTTTTAATATCAGGCTCATACCAAGTTTAATTAGATTGAATCTTTTGCCATGGACCAACATCATCCTTCCTACTACCATGAAATGGAAGAAGTGTTTGAAGATGTATGACTGTTTCACTTCTGAGCTCMGAAGCATGTTGCTTTACCCCGATTAGAGCAAGATGTCCCTCAACCCCTTGTCGACTCATTTCTTGGCTTGTTTATTAGCTCCCATATCTCCTGGCCAACACCGGTCCTAGTATGTTTGCTATGTCACCACCTGTCCCATCCATTGCAGGGAAGCATAGARGACCAGAGAACTATAATGAGACCTACTCATGCAGAGATCAAACGCAGAACAACAGAAAACCTTTCAGGTTCCAAGGAGCCAGTAATCAACAGTTTCCTGTTCCAACATGTGTCCTGTCCTTCATCCTACCGGACTGTTGTGGAATAGTCTTCACTGCTGTGTGTCTGAAAGGCAATATTCAAGCCCTGATCTTCTTCTGTCCTTCTGTAGACTTGCCTTGGAGAACGTGTTTGACGAGGTCTTCACAGTGGACTTGATGGACAGTAAGGACCAGGTCCACCTGTCTGTCCTGGGACGTCCTGAGCTTGGCGTCACCTACACCAAGATCCACTGCTGGACTCTGACTCAGTACAGCAAATGTGTCTTCTTGGACGCTGACACTCTTGTGAGAACACAAACATACCACACCACAGCAGCAAACTGTCCTTTGAATAGTTCTACATTAAACTTCATCACCAAAAAACATTTAAATGAGGACAACAGGTATAAAACAACCAAAAAATACACCAAAATACGCTTGTTTATACTGTGTTGTAATTCCTGGTACAGTGTGTCATAGACTAATTCCACACAAACTGCTACAAATTGCCTGTAGCTACAGCTAAACGTCCAACATCCAAGTTTAGAGCGTCATRATTCAACAAGTCACAGCTGACAATAAATATCCCAGGTGTAGTTTTTAAAGYTTATTTCACCAACAGCAATGCACATGTTGTTAATAAACAGCCATATAAGTGGTGCAGAAAGGATATGGCTAATATATTTGATATAAATAAATAAAAATATCTGCTTATAATCATAATAAATGAAATAAATAAGTAAATAAATGATGGCACTGTTAATGAGAGAAGACTGGAATGGTCAGCTCTTTATAAGGAAGATCTTGCATCCTACTATGCAAGTACAGACAAATTATTGAATAGTATTCATTTGCCATATGATGCAATTCGATGTAGTAATGGTAATTGTACTAACATAAATCATAAGAGAGTGATTTGTGGTCTGTATAATGATATTGTAAGAGCTCTGGATGAAAGTGGGAAATCTTACTGCAAAAACTAAAAACAGGAAAACATCKCACTCTGCCTGGTTGGAACAGGTACGTTGCTGGGTTTCATGAGCTGGCCYGTAAAGCTACTAAAGAGTGGACTTTGGCTGGTAGACCCAGGCAAGGACCTATTTATGAAAATAAAATGCAAACTAATGCTAGCTATACGTAAATATGCAATTCGGTCAATTATGAGAAATGAACAAAGAATGAGATCAGATTCAGTAGCTGGGAAACTTTTAATTAATAATGTCAAGGATTTTTGGAAAGAAATACGGGTTCTTAACAGGAATAAGGCATTTTTGCCCCATACAATGGATGGCATAACGAACTGATCAGACACTGGAACGCTGGAGGCAGCATTACAGTATCTTGTTTAATTTATTCAATCTAGTGATCCAGTTATTGAGGAACATGTTTGTATAGATGAGCATATGGTTATTATGACACATGAGGTATTTCAGGCCATAAAACAGTAGTCTGATGATAAAGCATGTGGTCTTGATGGCGTGTATGCTGAGCATTTGAAGCATGCCAGTTTTAGACCAGCTCCTCTCCTGGCTTTATGCTTTTCCAGTTTTTTGGTCCATGGTGTGCTGCCTGACTCTCTCCTGTCTATCGTTTCGGTCCCTGCGATAAAGGACAAAGCTGGTMGACTGGGTAGTCTGGATAACTACCGGCCTGTTGCGTTAGCAAGTATTTTGTCCAAGGTTTTGGAAAAGATCTTGTTAAATAGGATTCAAGGGTTAATTAAAGTTTCCGATAATCAGTTTGGATTTAAAACAAAACATGGCACAGATTCATGTTTTTTTGSTTTGAAAGAAATAATAAGGAAATATATAAGAGCCAAAACTCTTCTGTTCTTATGTGTTTTGTTGATGCATCAAAGGCATTTGATCACATAAATCATAAGAAGCCATTTGCTAAGATGTGTCAGGTGTATCAGATGTGTCAGGTGTATCAGATGTGTCAGGTGTATCAGATGTGTCAGGTGTATCAGATGTGTCAGGTGTATCAGATGTGTCAGGTGTATCAGATGTGTCAGGTGTAT